AGATAGAGTTTGAATTTTCATATTGAAAAAATTTACATATATTGATCGGCGAAAAATCCGCACATATGATTTTTTATATGTGTGCTCAACTATGTTTGTGTTTATTATAATTTGTAACACCCCAACCAAATATGCTCTGGTTTGGCTAACTTTTGAGGGCATAGCTTACCTTGTTGGATCTAGGAAAGAACACTGTCAGGACATAGCCAACAAATCTGTCTGACCTAGTCTAACAAGGTGTAGCCTCATCCTAACTCAAGTATCCGCTAAATGATAGGATGGTCTGAAAAAGCAAAAGTATAGAGTATTTTCTACTCATATGAATCATATGATGACTGATCCTCACCTTTGCTGGGATAAATTATATATAAATTATACCTAGAAAAGGGTAGCCTGGCATGATTATGTCCCATCCTATCTAATAAATCAACCTCATTTCATTTTTAAAAATAAGCAAGTGAGTACTCCCAAGATAATCATTCATTTCAACTGGGTATAATTGGTGAAAAAAAAGGACACATATATTGAATCAATATCTCATCTTCTTATCTAAAATTGATACAATTTCTCTGATCTCTTCTAAAGTCCTGGAATCTTTTTTTTTCATATGATTTTAGAGAAGCATTATAGATTTTCCTTTTCAGAACTTTATTGTAAAGCCCAATCTTCAAAATGATTTAATGATCATTCTTCAAAAGAAAAGGTGTAAAAATACCTGGAATATAGCCACTTTGATCTCTGTATATCTTGGATAAAAGGAATTAATCTTTCCTGTGAAAACTTGCCTGCAAAGAAAGGACCTAATAAGTCATTCAACCAACCAACAATGTGTATGTTGTGCATGAAATTGGAATCTGCTTCAATTTAAAATTCATATACAGTGTAACTATACATGAAGTCGAAATTAAAACCCCAAAGTCGAAATGTTTCGACTTGAGGAAACTACATAGTAAAAATCAGTTTTGACCTTATTTTGACCCTATTTCGACCAGATCTGCAAATGGTCAAAATAGTTTTGACTTCATGTATAAGTGTAACAAAAAAAACTGGAAATCTTTTATTTATTTTGTTCTCAATAATGGTTGAATGAAAATAGATAAAAATATATTGAAAAGAAAGCTGGAAATCAGAAGTTTTTATTAATATAAATTTTATATGAAACTTATTTTAATTGCTTTTAATATTAGGCAATGAAGTTAATTTTATTCCATTTAAAAATTCAATTATAAAAATCAGCAAATTCATTTCTCACTAATTTGCCAAAAAAATTCATTGGAGTTTTTTAGCATTCATACAGCATAGATAAAAATCCTATCATTGACTGTTATGGTATTACAAAAATCAAGTGAGATTGACCAATGAAAATTGAAATTAAAAATCACATGTGCTTCCAAAAAAATTAATTAACATTTACTCGAGAAAAATGTATAATAGTTCAATTTTATTTATTATTCAATATTCTCTCTTCTTATTTTAAACTGGGGACTGGTAAAAAGAATTCTCATACAAAAACCATTTTCTGCAAAAAAAATTAAATAATCTTTTGTCTATTAATTGTTAATCAGTAAAAAAACTAAAATAACATAAAATAATATAGAGAATAGTTAAAACTTTGGTTATTCTATAACTCAATGGAAATATAATGTCATAATATGCTGAATTGGCAAGTGTTTATTTCACATGAAATTTTTGGATTCCGTTCAAAGAAAATTAAAATGTAGATCATTGATAAATTTGGATGTTATGAATGTAATAAAGCGAAATTTAGAGCAAAAGGCATTACTAATAAAAGTCAAAACTCAGCATGGATCAGGAAAAGTTATTAATGGATCAAAAATAAACAATAGTAATATAACATTTGTACAAAGTTTGAGGTGGTGTTATTTAATATGGGGTGCGCCACTTTTCTAAGTGACACTTTTTCGATTTACAATACTCTTCACATTATACATGAAGTCGAAATAGGGTTGAAATAAGGTCAAAACTGATTTTTATTATGTAGTTGCCTCAATTCGAAACATTTTGACTTTGGGGTTTTAATTTCGACTTCATGTATACTTCACATATAAATTGTCAATCGTCTCTATTAAATGCATGTGACCAATCTATCCAATGATAGGATTTTTATCTATGCTTGCTGTACCTAGCAAGTAACCAACATTCTAATTATTGAGAAACATTTCAAGGGGACGCCTTTGGGATATAATTATATATAGAACCTTATATTTTTTTAAATTTTTTTTTAGATGAAGAGCCCAAGATAAGCAAGCCAGGCACTCATTGAAAAACATACTAATATTGTTATTTGGTATGGTGGATGGTTTGTTCTGCTGGAGAAGAGAGGCGTTTTTTATTGATAGCAAGAAATATAACATATTTTATAAATGTATTATTGAAATCAAGATCTTGTCATGTCTCTAGGTATTTATTATAAAGAATTCTTATCAAGATGATAGTAAATGATTGGGATTGTTTTTGCTTTTCATAATCAATATTAATATTAATATTTATTATAAGATGTCAAGGAACATTTTGATATGTTACTCAGATGATCCATTGGAAAGGTAGATTTAAAAATATGTTGTATGTAGATGCTAACATTATTAATCAGAGTATAATTGTTGTCAAATATCCTAGAATAAAAATAGTAATTAATCATGACATTCTATTACTATTTAGAAAGGAAAGTTGATAAAACCATATAATTTGATTCTTGGAGAACAATTTTCATGTCATTGGGATGTTTCAGAACCAAGGTTTGATAAAAAAGGAAACTTCATTGAGTGACAAATGAAAACGATAACAATCAAAGAATTATAAAGTTACATGTTTAACAGAACAAATATCACATCATCCACCAGTTTCAGCTTTTTGTTATCATAGTGAAGATAAAGGAATAACTGCTTGTGGAGTAGATCAACTTTCAGCAAGATTTACCAGAACTTGTAAGAAAATTTTGAAAATTAGATTTCTTTTTTTTCTTTTAATTTTTAAATGATAAAATTTTATATACATTAGCTGTAAAAATTGGACCAGGTGAACAAAATAAAGGAATTTACATTAATCTGAGTGAAAGAAGAAATGAAGAATATTTATTAACTCATTCTGTCGCCAGTGTGCAAGATTGGTTAAAAGCTCCACTATATGTAGTTGTTGCTGGAAGCTGCATTGTAACTTGTCCAAAGACAAAATTGAAAGCAGTATTAGAATATAAAGAAGAGGTAAATATAATATGATTATTTATTTATATAGTATTTATATGTACATAATGTCTCTGTAGACTATAAATAATTAATTGATTAAAAATAATTACTTTTTTTTTTAAAAAAAAGCAATGGCTTGGAAAACCAAATTTGTCATAGAAGGCAAGATATTTAAATATGATCTGAAGAATGATGATAAAAAAAATTGAAGATGGTTAATGAAAATGATGTTGTGGACAAGTCCATGCAACAAGACCAGATACAAATGTAAATAATTATTTAATTGTATTTATTTTGTTATTTTTAAAAAAAATTTTTTATATGAATATTATTAATATGTTTGTATATGATTAGGAAACAAAATTACTTTTAGATATGGAAAGGATATTCCCAATTCCAAAAAAAAGTCAAACCAATTTCAAAACAAAGACCACTTGAATCATGTAATGTTTGGAAACCTGTCACAACAGTTTTATTTCAAAAAGACTATACAAAGGCTACAAAAGAGAAACAAATAATAGAAGAAAGGCAAAGACAAAAGGTTGCAGAATATAAATCTAATAAAGAATTCAATGCTGCTTATTTTAAATTACCAATTATTGATGGTAAACCTCATTTAAATGATGCAGGACATTCAGCAATAAAACAAGAACATCAATTCATATTTTAAATTAATTTTATATATAGTACAATTACATACATTATTATATTATTATATTAATATTATATTACCTAATTATTATAGATTATCATATTATTATTTGTATTTATTTGTATTTTAAAAATGTTTAGAGGTGAGGTAAATTAAATTAAAATTAAAATTAATCCAACAAATAGTAGTACTAATAATGAGACACATCTTGATGTATACCAATTGATAATAAATGTGTAGATGGAACTAATGGGTATTGTTTGAAATTAATTGTGGTATACTCAATTGATTATAAAATATCTGAATGTATATAGTGAGTATTTTCCATAGCAACCAATTGAAGGTCCATGATAGTGAACTTCAAACATAAATCTCATGATATAAACAAAAAGACTTGTTCCAAGATTAGTTTTTCTTTGATTGGATGCTGCCAAATTTCCATCAAGATAAAACCAAGCAGGTGGCATAATGATCAAGTTTATTATCAATGAATAATCAATGAGGAAACATATTGAATAAAATTCAAGAGGAAGACACCCCAGAAAAAGCCAATGCTTCTTTCACCAAGAGGTTATACCCAGTGGATAATGTTTGGTTAAATTTTTCCAACATTTAACATTTTTTCAAATAAATTTTTATTTAATCAATCAGATATTTAAAAATTATTATTAGAAAATTAAATATAGGCATGTACTAAAAATTATTAATAAACTCGAAATAAAATTAAATTTTATATGATTTCCGTCATTAAATGGCAGATCTTGATTTGTTGTCGCAGGTAAAAATACAGTCGTTGTTTCAGGTGGTGGTGTTGTGGTCACAGTTTTTGGTACCCTATATAATAATAAATTAAATAATTAAATAATTTATAAATAATTAACTTAATAAAAATAACTTATTCTTTTAATTGCCTAGTATGAGGAGGTGGGGTTGTTGTCGATGTTATCTCCGGGGTTATCTCCGGGGTTGTTGCGGTAGTTGAAGAAGTTGCATTTATCGAAACGGATAGAGAAGTAGCGTTAGGCATTATAATAGTAGGAAAGATTTCAACAAAAGGAACAGTAATAGAACGAGGAAAATGTTTTTTTGGAATGATAGAAATAGGTACAGTCATTGTCACTACTGTATCACGTCTATTAAGTTTATCATATTTTTCATCACGCTGGTAATTAGAATTGATCGGAATTGCTTCTTTGCGTTTAAAAAAATATTTACTTTTAATGGCCTTTCCTCTTTTTCTTGTTATTATTTTGTTGAAATCATTTTTTTCATATTGAATAGCATTTATTACATTTATTATCGCTATCAAAAAAATAATCAAAATCGTTAAAATCTTCATGATTACCAATTTTATTTTAGAGAATTAAGAATTACTATATTTTTTTGCGATTAATTTATATAATTTATTCCATCATATAAGACATATATTTCATATGATATTAAAAATTTTAAGAAATCTTATGATTTTTTTACCAATTCGAAAATTATTTCATAATATTAATATATAACGACACATCATTCATTATTACTGTGCCGATAAATTAATGTTTTACAAGATCGGATGATCTGCACCGCATGACACTGGGGTATTCGATATAAGTTGATTAACAAATCTAATTAATATTAATGTCATAAATGTAAATACATATATACGGTTTTTTTTAGCATAGATAAAAATCCTATCATTGACTGTTATGGCATTACAAAAATCAAGTGAGATTGACCAACGAAAATTGAAATTAAAAATCACATGTGTTTCCAAAAAAATTAACATTTACTCGAGAAAAATGTATAATAGTTCAATTTTATTTATTATTCAATATTCTCTCTTCTTATTTTAAACTGGGGACTGGTAAAAAGAATTCTCATACAAAAACCATTTTCTGCAAAAAAAAAATTAAATAATCTTTTGTCTATTAATTGTTAATCAGTAAAAAAACTAAAATAACAAAATAATATAGATAATAGTTAAAACTTTGGTTATTCTATAACTCAATGGAAATATAATGTCATAATATGCTGAATTGGCAAGTGTTTATTTCACATGAAATTTTTGGATTCCGTTCAAAGAAAATTAAAATGTAGATCATTGATAAATTTGGATGTTATGAATGTAATAAAGCGAAATTTAGAGCAAAAGGCATTACTAATAAAAGTCAAAACTCAGCATGGATCAGGAAAAGTTATTAATGGATCAAAAATAAACAATAGTAATATAACATTTGTACAAAGTTTGAGGTGGTGTTATTTAATATGGGGTGCGCCACTTTTCTAAGTGACACTTTTTCGATTTACAATACTCTTCACATTATACATGAAGTCGAAATAGGGTTGAAATAAGGTCAAAACTGATTTTTATTATGTAGTTGCCTCAATTCGAAACATTTTGACTTTGGGGTTTTAATTTCGACTTCATGTATACTTCACATATAAATTGTCAATCGTCTCTATTAAATGCATGTGACCAATCTATCCAATGATAGGATTTTTATCTATGCTTGCTGTACCTAGCAAGTAACCAACATTCTAATTATTGAGAAACATTTCAAGGGGACGCCTTTGGGATATAATTATATATAGAACCTAGGGACCCTTTTATCCAGGAGGATAAAAGTAGTAGATACATAATCTTTAAGATTATGTATCTACTTAGCCAGTTTATGTATCTACTAGGACTAGAGTATGTATCTACTAAAGTTATTTTTACTAATCTTTGACCGTAAGTCAGTGGGTAGGCTGTGTGTCAAACCATAGAATCAACTGTAAGTCAGCGGGTAGGCTGTGTGTTGAACTATAAATAACCTATTAATTAGGAAACTTGGATTGCATGCTCGCAATATTTTAAAATTTTCTATTTTTTTTTTATAGTCAAATAATAATGTACATATACCTACAAACAAAGAAATTGAAGACAAAATAAATTATGGTAAAGTTAAGAATACTACTCACAATACAAGATTCTGGTTGAAAGTTCTGACAGATGTTAGAACAAAAATGGGATACAATTATGACATTAGTGAAATTGTTGTTATAAATCAGTTACAAGAAGAATGATTCAATTTTTTCAAGTGTTTAACAAAAAAGACAAATCACCATATGCACCAACATCAATAAAAAATTGCTTTGCTGCTATACATAGATATTTACAGGAAAATTCAAAAATTTATCCTGCTCTAGATCTTTATGATGAACGTATGTTTTCCAAGACTTCACAAACATTTAGATGGCAAAATTAAAAAAATACAAGATTTAAGCATAATCAGACAAAAAAAATTTGACTCACTTGAATATGATGAAATTTACCAAATTTTAACACATCCTGAGTTAAACAAAGACACACCATTATCCTCCACTTACAAAACCTATTTCTGGTTATGTTTCTTGTGTAGTTTTTGTGGTGGAGATGCTCAAAGATTAAAATTGACAAATGTGGAATTAGCAGCTATTAATGGACTGACAATTACAATTCCTTGTGAAAAAAACAATGCTGGCTATAGTTTGCTGAAAATTTCTATAAAAAACTGTAATAATGTTCAAATAAATCTTCAAATCACACCAAAAGATTAAATTTTTAATGTTTATAATTGATTCATGATATGAAATCATTGTAATTCTTGCTTTTGTTGTATTTAGAAAAAAAAATTATAATAATAAACATAAACATAAATGAAATAATAAAATATTATGTAAATTTCCGGTATGATAACTAATTAAAAAACCGGGGTGATAACTAATTGAAAAACCGGGATGTTATTGATAACCATAATAATAAGGGTCTACATAGTCTATTATTATAGAAACGTGGGATAACATCACTTATTCATAAGTAGTGATGCAATCCACAGGAATTTTCCAAAAGGCAAATCCTTTATTTATTATTCGTGGATAAAGCTTCTGTCTTTCAGGGGGTGTATGGTATGGATATCTCTGATGTCAATTTCCAGGGTTTTGTCCAAATAACTCATTCTATGTTTGACAAGTTGGTTAATTATAATATATCCCTCTACAGGTAAAACCTTTATCCATGATGACAAATTGGTAAAGGTTTTACCTATTTGGGAAATTATAAAAATATGTAGATCACCTGATTTTAATAAGTGTTGTGTGGATGTATGTAACAAATAATAAAAAAATGTATGTACAATAATTTTGGTTGGTAAAGGATCCCATCATTATTGCTGTTAAAAGAGAAAAATTGGTTATTAATTTCAGGATGGTTGAAAATTGACAAAAATATGCTGAGGAAATAAATACTTGATATGCAGATTCTAAAGGGGTATTTGGGAAACATATAATATTCAAAGGAAATTTCTGATCATACATCAAAGTAATTTTTCATGCTGTTGGAAGTAGAACAAACTGCTTTCTTACAGATGAAATAGACAAAAATCAATGTTAATTCCTCTTGACTCACAAATCCTTCTGACTATTTTATTTTAGGTGAGAATAAGTAGCCAAAAAGATTAAGAAAAAACTTCGAGGATTGGCATAAAGATTAACTTTGCCATTTAGGCCACGGCAAATAAGGTTATCCTTTGGATTCATTGCCCACTGCCAATATATTAATTAAAAAAATCCAAACGCTTTGCCTCTTTTCTAAAATCTCCTAAATTCCTTCCGCCATTTTCTGATATCTTCCACTCGTCAAAAGATAAACCTCGTGTTTTGAGGTTTGTATTTCTTGAACACAATTATCTTGCTTGATAAATCAGAAAAAGCAATTAATGAAAAAATTCAAGAGAAAGTTTTACTGGTCCTAAAAATAGACCTAGCTCATTTTACGCTCTCTTTTGTTGCAATAAATTACAAAAAGAAATCGGCCAAGATGTTGTAAATTTAAGAGAATTACAAGGCCATATACTGATGAAGAAAACGGAAATCAAAAAGTGATCGTTTTAGAATTTTTGATAAATAATTGAATTCATGAAATAAGAGTTCATAATTAGAACAAGCTTTACATAAAATTATTGAATAGTGTATTTATGAAATAATAAAGGCTTCCAAGGTGATTAAAAAAGGGCGTTTTACAATTCTGCGAAAGCTTCGAAGACATCATTTGTTTATTACTTGCTTTGGATTAAACCTGATTTCATTAATAACAAAAAATAGTTTAAAAACATAGAAGAGAAAAAAAAGGCAAATTTAAAGATTTTTTGCAAAGAGCAAAATTAATGAACGAGGAAAACAGATAAATTTGATTCATCGGGGCATTGAACATCTCCAGTATAATTTTGGATGTAGGCATGTGATTGGCTGTGCCGATGCACATTATACCATTTTTAGTGATTTAAATACAATTTGCCGGAGCAGAAGAGAAAAAGAAAAAGCAAAGTACTGAATTATTTAATAAATGGATTGATTACTTTCCCGTTTAGATTGAGTTAACGCAGATCCAAGGAATTATTTATATTTTGCTTAATTTGGAATTGCCCAGAGGCAAACTTGCTAAAAAGCACGGAACATCTCACGATCACATTATATTTGTAGTAGTACAATTGTGATCTGGAATTTTATATGCTGTAATATTTATTATTCAATTATATTTACAAATTAAACTGCATGACGCGGTATTACATAAAACAATAAGAAAGTTAAAAAAGATGACGAAGTCAACAGGTTTAAAATAGTCCAAATAATATATACAAAAAAAAAATAATTGGTTGGTTATTGACACCAAAATTATCATCACCCATTAACTTTTCTGTTATGATATAAAATTGCAAGTTTTCTCTGAGCTCGTTCAATATAACTATATCTACACTCATCAAACAATTCTTTATATTTAATATTCTCAATTTGTAACCTTCGGATCTCCATTTGCTTATTTTTTATCCAGTTTTTTCTCTCGGCGTCCGAGTTGGTGATGGTGGCGGTGGCGGACAGCCGAGTGTACTCTTTTATTAGATTGTTGACATGAGCGATCAAAAAAATATTGGGTTGCCATGTATTTGTGTCATACGATTTCTGATGAGACTGTAAGCATTTTAATAGTGATTTAGACAATTTCCACTCCATTTGTAACTCTTTTCCACTGTAATTAACGTGTAATTAATATAATAAGTGTGAGTACAATGATTAATATGATTGGTGCGACTAATAACTATTATTGATCACTAATACTAATCGAAAAAAACCCTCAATCACTCCAATTAACAAACAACCCAAAATGCTAATAGTGATAACCTGTCATAAAAAACAACATACCTGACAACTCTCTGATTTAAACACTTTCTACAACAATAGATACGAAACTCCCAATATAATGACAATTTGAATTTATCAGTTTCATTACAAAATTGACACTTTTTTGCTACCACCATCAACCAAATATACTCTTGTTCTGTCATATCTTTTGGTGGTTGTAATGTCGAATGTGTGATATGCTTTAGTCTTGACCTTCGCCAAATACTTTGTGCCAACTCTGATGATGACCACAAAATAATTCGAACTCTTTTACATACTAACGTTAAACAATATAAATCTTTTGGTGTTGTCTCCGAAAATATCTCGGCTAATACTTCTATTGGAATTTTCTCAAACATTGTTTTCTTTTAATGGTAATTGTTGTTGTTGATGTCAATTATTTTTATATGTGCTTATTGCTTAATATTAATAATTAATATTATCAATTATACATTAATAAAAAATCAAAAATTTTTAAAGAAAAGAGAATTGTTAAAAAATTAAATTTATATATAGATAAATTTACTTGTTGTATTGTGTGACTTTTAATGGATAGCCTTATTAATTACATGGTTCCTCCTTTGATAATGACTTCCTACTACTACGTTTAAATTTTTGTTCATGCTATTTTTATGAATATTGGATGAGAATATCATGTTATAATAATAATAATTAAGGGAAAATGGCGCGCGTGTAACATATTTTTAATAAAAACTGTGCCTAAAAATGGGCTGATTTTTTTATGAGTATTTGTGACTGCGCCAAGATCTACTGAAAATTTTTGACATAGATAGAAATGAAAAAATAAAAAATCGACCGATAGTTATTATTGCTATAATCATTATCATTTTTTTAAACAGACGATTGATGATGATGATGTGGAAGTTGCTGTAAATGCTAAATTCTGATAAAGTTGTACTTTAATTTGTAAATATTTGAAATCTTTGATTGGATTTAATAAAGTAGACAGAGACGAAGATGATAACAGGTCATCTCAATCTTGGACAAGAATCATAGGTGAATCATCTCTATAATTCGTAAATAAATAATCTGGAGCAATTTGTTAGAAATATTGCTTAATCAATGAATTTCTGGTATATATATATATATAACAAAATTTTTTTTTCCATGCTATAGATAATTCGCTTATATTATTAACAATTTATTAAAAAAAAAATTATATACATGATTTAAAAAAAAGACCAGATAGCCACTGGCAAACCTTCATGGTCTTGTAAAGAAAAATTAATATATATAATTTTTCTCAGGATCAGATAGCAAACTTTCATGAATTGCATCTTTATAAAATTATGATGAATGATACTAATAATTTTGATCAACCACTTATTAATTTATTTAAAAAAAAAATTTAAAAACATGAATTTATTAACAAAAAATTGTAACATGAGTGACAAGAATTTACTTTAATTTGTAAATATTTGAAATCTTTGATTGGATTTAATAAAGTAGACAGAGACGAAGATGATAACAGGTCATCTCAATCTTGGACAAGAATCATAGGTGAATCATCTCTATAATTCGTAAATAAATAATCTGGAGCAATTTGTTAGAAATATTGCTTAATCAATGAATTTCTGGTATATATATATATATAACAAAATTTTTTTTTCCATGCTATAGATAATTCGCTTATATTATTAACAATTTATTAAAAAAAAAATTATATACATGATTTAAAAAAAAGACCAGATAGCCACTGGCAAACCTTCATGGTCTTGTAAAGAAAAATTAATATATATAATTTTTCTCAGGATCAGATAGCAAACTTTCATGAATTGCATCTTTATAAAATTATGAATGATACTAATAATTTTGATCAACCACTTATTAATTTATTTGTAAAAAAAATTTAAAAACATGAATTTATTAACAAAAAATTGTAACATGAGTGACAAGAATTTGTTACTGTTAGTACTAATGTAGTTTGCTTAAATTTCAATCATTGGGGGGGGGGTATTTTAATACTAACTGATATGTCAAATGATATTAATATTAATATCATTATAATGATTCTTGATGGTTGCATGTAATAATGATTTTTTCCAATGATTTTTATTGCATTTTTATATAATTAATTAATTAATTTGTTTATCCATACTAATATGAACAAATTGTTAATTATCATAATCACAAAGTAATTATCTAATATTACCCTCTTCTCCAATATTTGTGAATGTTAATTATATATAAGATAATTAATGTTTACGATTCCTATCTAAAAAAAAAAAAAAAAAAAAAGTGCAATATGTATATATAACATTGCTATAAACCATCCAAAAAGTGGAATACATATATAAAAATTTTCCTTCTGCACATGCAGAAGCAGATGCTCCTGTGGAGAGCTAAAATTCTTTGAGAGCTTTGCCCTCTGCAGAATTCTTGGGACCATGCATTTTCTGCAATGATACTTTAAAAAATGATTAATTATCATCATCTCTTATTAATTTTTTACACAATTATCTGGTACATTGTATTAATATTAATACTTGTTTCAAAAATGGGTTTACTATTATGGCTTAATGACAGTTCATTTCATGCAACTATCAAAATTGTTATATTTTTATTTTTTAGATCATTGTAATATTTGCTATATATAAAATATTTGTATTTCAAAAAAAAATTAAAAATAAAGTTTTTTATTATTATATAAATTTTTTAGTGTTGGACTTTACATATATACATGTGGTAGGAATAGATTGGTCACTTGACCCAATCAGGTGACTTTTTGATGCAATTAATTGAGTCATATGAAAAACATATAAATAATTGAGTTGGACACAATTAATTTGACAACATGTATAATCACATGGTTTTACACAAAAAATTATTTCACAATAGTTATTCTAATAAGTTTGGTTGTTGCTGACAAAACATTATTTATCAGATAATAAATCTGTCTATTCTCTGACTCCATTATTTCATAAATTGCTGATTTTCTATTTAAATTTCCACCATCTTTGATGGTTTTATTGAAAAATTTATTAATATGCATATGGTTTTTTTTTCTACTGGTGAACAAGAAAATGATTTAAGACCAAATTTTTGATGGATGCTCATAAATTCATGCACATGATGTACAAGTACATGTATATATGGGGGTCACATCAGATGCATTATACAAGCCCTCAATAAAATTATTTTCTAAAGGATTACCTTGAGATTTGGTTAAAAATTTCTCAATCCATAATGATGCATCATTTTGAAATAGCAAAGGATTATAATTTGAATTGCACATATTATTATATAAAGCAGCAAAACCATCCCATAACTCTCTTATTTTATCAGCATGTGATGGAGGAAGAACTTTTTTTAAATCAAATACTTTAACTTATCAGGACCCACAAGTGATGTATGTGTCCACTGTTTAGAATTTTCAGCCAATGAAAATTTAAAAGAGACTTTAATTCTCTCCATTTCTTCTTGTACAGTTTTTCTTAAAGTTTCTGAATAATTTTTATTGCTGGACTGAGTAATTTTAATTTCATTGAATAATAAACTGAGCAAATGATCTATTACCCTGAGCATTAGATGTAATTCATCAATGACCCAATGATCAAGTGGGATCATTGAAAATAAAGGCTGTCTAATTTGACCATTGTGTAGTTTTGGATTTTTAGGATCATAATTAACTGATAACTCTTCCATTTTTTTTGAAATACTCCAATTTAAATTAAGTTTTCCTTGTTGAGATTTATTGCAATTGCACCATGGACAAAAATAGTTTGAATTAGCAGCATTAAATCCAAGAACAGTTGCTAGGAACTTCCAATCACTTGAAATATATAAAGATACTTTCTTTCCAACACTTATCAAAATTATCTACAAAGCCATTTTGTTTTAAGTCCTTTAATTCTTGGATTAAAGGACTTAAAACATTGTTTAGGCATTCACAATCCTCCTGTCCTGTATAAAGTGCTAAAGAATAATGATTGCTGGGACTAAAAATATTTTCATGATCATTTAACAATGCAAATGTTATCATGACTTGTTTTATTTTTCTTCCAACATTTCTTCCATCCCCTGAAATTCGTATATAAAGGAATTCATCACTATCTTTTAATATTCCATTTTCAATAAAATAAGGAATTAAAGAATAAAGAATATCTTTAATATTTCTTCAAACTCCATTTCCACGTGATTCTTCTGTTACTAGTATATTTTCACTTATTTCTTCTTCTGTATCATCATCAATATCCATGTCATTTGTAACACTTTTTACAGTTTTTTCAAATGATGTATTGAAAGTAAAAATTGGTATTTTTTCAGTAATTATTTGATTGATTCTTTTTTTTTTTTTTTCAATATTGTGTTCATGAGGTAAAGAGTTCACTATTGCTGTTAATGCTCTATATGAATCTCTACCAATATTATGTTCATCTAATACTTTGACAATAGCTTCTTCTTCAGCATTAGAATTTTTTTATCATAAGTAAGTTCATATTGAGTGCCATTTGTTTCAAATGTTGTTTTGACCAACGTTGCTTGTTCCAAGTTTTTATTAATATTTAAAGCAGATGATTTACTATTTTCAAATGTCTGCACTATACTTTGGCCCATTGATATAACCCTTGATCTCTGAGTTGAAGTTGATAAATTATCAAAAGAATCAATTTTTTTTCTGATATGTTTTTCTTTAGGAGGGTTTTGTTCACGATAATCCTTAAGGCACTGCAATTGTAACCCAAATATTAATGGTCCTGACTTTCTTGTTCTTGTACTATCTCCTTCAAATCACTTTAAAATTATTCAAATTAATAAATTTTTTTAATTATTCAAAAAATAATAAATAATATAAAATGAATTTACTTTCAAAAATAAATCAACAGCTTCTGTTGCTGATTTTATAGAAATTACATTAAATTTATTAACATCATCAACCCAATCAATTCGATAAACAGGATCATTATTTTCATTATAATTAATTGAGCATGTTATGGTATTTTTTACAAATGTTGTTTTGATCTTATAATTATCAGGAATAGGGTGGGAACTTCCACGAGTAGTTTTATAGTTTTCAGGATAATGTCCTATATTTATAACTTCATAAATGAAATTACTACTGACTGAACCTTTGTTGGTGTATTTAATAATGGGATCATTGGGATAGTTGCTTTCTTCATTGGAATTATTTGTTGGATTCATTTTAAATTGTTAAAGATAATGGCAATTTATAGGAAATATAATTTAAATAAATGTTGAATCAAAGTGTAAATTTTTTATTATTTTATTCCAAATAATTATTTCTTTATATACTTCTTTCAATGTGAAATGAAACATCTATATACAATGAAGTTTTAATTGTAGAATACAAGACACATCTCTAAATCAATTAAAACTACCAATTATGTATATTGAATTTTACATATCATGGAAAATTAATAAATAGATCAGAGAATTAAAATAAATTTATGAAAGTTGCACAAAAAGAAATCAGAAAATTCAAAGTCCATTATTTAATACCAATAAAATAATTGACTCACGGAAAATATTTCAAACAACAGAGAAGTAAATATTCTAACATTCTAAATGTAAGATCTTAATTCTCAGATTAAATTTAAACTAAGGAATTTAAATGATTAGATCACTTTAGAAATAACTTGAAAATAATTCTATACGGAAGGTTCAAATAATACATTTAATTAAAATAAATTAGGATTTCAAAGAAATTGGAGAACTAGATGATAGAACCTTTAACATGTATAAGCAGCATTGTAATTTTTTCAGCTTCATTTATCATTTTTATCATCATCTTTATAATCATCTTTATAATCATCTTTACCAATCATCATAATAATTTAATAAATAACAAACTGTTTTTAACCTTGTCCTTGCCCTTTTCCTTGTTGTTTTCGAATATTATATTTTCGTAATGATAATAAATCTATGTCTAACAATAAATTCATACTAATTCCGTGCATAATTATTTTCTCTTATTTTATATTTGTCTCTATTTTTTTATTATTTTTTATTTCTTTTCTTTTTTTTTAGCGAGGTAATAGTATTTAATGAATTTTATTTAGTAGTTTTGGAAAACATACCAGACTTGAGTAGGAGCAACCCACAAGAAACATGATCAGGATATAGTGTAAAATTTAAAGAAGTTTAGTATTGCTTAGTATAAGGAATTGTTTAATGATAATGATAGATAATTTTGAAAGTAAAGCATAAATATACAGATTTAGTATAAATAAATTAGAAGTAATTGTATAAATATTGTTGGCATTGTAAATAAATAAAACATTGAGGTCGCGGATAATTTTACAATATCAAATATAAATTTGTGTAACCATTTTTAATTTTCAAATAGTGCGTCATTAATTTGACATGATCAACGATCAGGGGAAATTTGTAAAAAATAATTAGCAGTAATGTCCTATTCTTTCTTTACCAATACTAACAAATAGATCATATATTTTTCCTGCTCTTTCCTTTGTTTTTTTCAACGCATCATTGGCAATATCATTGGGAAGTTGTTTTCGGATCTCATCATTAACAAGAGCCAGACACGCATGTTCCCCATGCTTCAAATTTCTGTAATGATCAAAACATTTTTTTATAGCTACACCAAAGTTGTAATAACATTTTATAACTTCTCTATTTGCAATTATATGTTTAGATTCGGCATGTAAAATTTTTCTATAGTGATATAAAAAATTATTGGTATTCTCACTGACTTCTATTACTTCCTCAGGAATTTCGGGTGCAGTAGTTAATAGTTCTTCAATAAGTTTTTTCAACATAGGAGAGTCTTCCTTCTTCTTTACCAGTTTCTTAGCTTTTTTATTGGATGATGAATCAGTAGCAGGTTCACCAATGCGTTTAGATGGTAAATTAGTTGTGGTGACATCAGGATTAATAGTGGCGGTGTTGGAGTCGGGATGGGTTGATTCTGTTAACAAACCCCCTTTGACTTCCTCATTGGAATTCTCATTGGAATCCTCATTCATAATTTCATCCACTGATTCAAGAGGATCGATTTGTAAATTCTTCCCTAGATTACCAACTATAGATGATACTCCACTCAACTGAGAATCATGCCTAGTATAATCTATTATCTCAAGCTTTTCATTACAATTGGGATAAGGGTATACATTCAAATAATCAAGTAAAATCTTATTTTCAAGACAAAGTCTATGGAACGCATGTCCACATTGCAATGTTGTGAAAGATTTGATATGAGGAGATGAAAAAATTTTCTTATTACATTCTGGACATTGCCCTAGCTTTGGAATATCCATACCATCGACAATGGGTTCTTTGAATTCTTTTAAGATATTATATGCAAGGGCTTTGAGATTAGAAATAGCCATAGTATTGATTTTTTATAAGTTAAAGCGTTCCATTCCAATAATGCTTTGTTTTTATAATGTTAGTATTTCCGCAAGTCAAACAATCAATAAATTAGTAATTTCGGAGCAATATTTCTCATGAATAGGGTTAATTTATTCTCTATGGACGATCTCAGACGATTTACCTACCCTACAACAAGCACACTAATTAATTAGACGTTTTTCTATGGGTGATCCGTTACCTTTGCCAATCATAATATTTGCATAATTTCTCTGATAGGTAGGCCTGAATCGATGTCAAAAAAACAAGCTTAATGCATGGAGTGCACTTTCTCTTTTTTATACAACAACAATACACACCTCTTATTTTGGAAGAAATGGTATTCGTGGAGTCATGAATTTTTTTTTTGGAAAAAGTGATCAGTGTTATAAATTATAACATGCATGTGATTTTTTACGATATTTTGAATAAATCTATTTCTTATATAAATGAACATGACATTGGAACTTGAATCATTGAAACAAGAGAATGCCAGACTTATGGCTAGAATTGTAGAATTGGAGCAGACTGCAAAAGAAAAAGATGAGCTTAAAGCTGAAGTAGCAAAATTAAGGCGTGATTTTGAGGAGCTCAAACAGCGAACTCAAGTACTTACTAATGTGCAAGACACGTCTTCTATTGTAAATATCTCACCTAATAATTTCGATTCAGAGTCTAAATTGTTAGAAGATAAAGAGGTCAATGAATTCCTGGAATCAGAATGTAAAAGAAGTGTTAGTAATGAGATAAGGGAGAGAAATGGGGAAAAGAAGATTCAACATACCATTTTTTCTGAAATAAATTCTACAACTGAAATTTCCCAAGATACCATATCTACTATAAACAATGATCGAAAAACAATTCAATCAGAATGGGCAAAGCCCAGAGTCGAAGACTCATCTCAAACTTTTGCTGAATCAGAGCAAATAACCATTGATCAGGTACAAGATAATATTTCTTCCGAAATAGCGAAACTAAAGAAAATTCCCTATAACCAGAAAGTAGAGCAAGGTTTAAGGCATGAATTATCTGTTTGCGTCAAAAATGATAGTAGTGGAATTAATAGTGGAGCTAGTGCCAAGGCACATAATGTATTTGATATACAGATTCCCAAATTATCTTTAGAAGCAATTATAAGAGGATCTAATAAAATTACAACACAAAATATAGTTGATTTATTTAATGTTGCTATAAAGACTAGACAAAAGGAGATTTTATGCTGGTATTGTTACTATAAAGCATATGAGGAACGAATCAAAGATATTACAGTCAGGATTTTTTCCAAATTTGGAATTTCTAAATACTGTAATGATCAACATTCTGGAATACAATTGAAAATTCTAAAATTGTGTGCAACATTCTTACCCCCTTAAAAAAATTTTTTTTTTCCCTCGGTATATTAATATATGGGGCATGGACAATAGAAACGACCCAAACGTCAAAAATCATGATTTTGAGTTAATAACATTCCTATATGTAATTCATTGCAAAGATTAATTTTAGCTTAGAAACCATACCCGCTTTGCTTAATAAAATTTTGAGTTATTTAAAAAAAATTGCAAAGACATAAGAACCAAAAATTGATGTTGCGAGCATGCAATCCGAGTTTCCTATTTAATAGATTATTTATGGTTCAACACTAATGTTGGTTTTCAAAACTCGAGAGTTTCGCAACCGTGCGAAAGTCAAAAGGTTTCGCCATAAGTCGAAACTAGTTTTGATTTTTGACTATCGACTTTTGATTTAGTTTTGACATATAACTTTTAATTTTAGTTTTCACCTCTTCAAAATAGTTTTGGCGACCAACACTAATCCAAACCCAATTTAAAATAAATGAATTTCCGCATAAAAATTTTTTTCTGTAATTTCAAGAAACTAATAATTTTATTTGTGTCGTCTAATATGGTGCGCGAAGTCTATAACCGCTATTTATTGTGCCACACCATCAAATTTCACAAAAAAATGATGATAAAAAATTTATAAAGTCATGTGATTTTTAAAATTTCTTAATTTGATTTATTATCAATTTTAATTATCAATAACATTGCTTGGAATTTTTCTATGAGATTTGTATCTCTTTACTGCATATAAAGCTTCTAGACCTGTCAATTCATTTCTATGAACATCCATAAATCTCCAAGACCTGCAAGCAAACTTCCGAATTTTTTTGAGAGAAACAGAACTTAATGCCAATGGAACAGTTTTTTTCTAATGACTTAAAGGTATAATCACGGTTTTCACGGGTATATTATTTTGCTGCACCTCAAAATAATTCAATAAAATTAAGTTACAGTGGAACTTGGGGTAAAATATGACTTTATGACCATAAGATTCAATAGTTTCTTCAAATTTAAAGCTTTTTGATTAAATATTTTTGACGCAGTGATTTTTTACAGCTACACAATACCAAGTTTAGAAATGATAATTGTAGACTATCCTAATTTTAGACAAAAATGTTACTGCCAAATCATCATGAACACAGTAAGATACATGTACTAAAAAAAAATAGAACTCGATAACCAATCAATATTTTGAAAAAAACTTCTCTGACAATCTATGAAATAACAAGAGTTATTTTTTAAAAGGATCGACAGAAATGGACTTCTATTCTTTCAAAATCACGTACAAAATGGTGGTTATAGACTTCGCGCACCATATTAATTAATCGCTAAAATTTTAGAACCAGATTTGAATATGAGACACATTTTACTTACGAGGTTTGTAAAACAACGGTTTTATTTGTATGCGGTGAAACTTCAGTACAGTCAAAGCTCTCTATAACGAACCTCCAGTCCCGAGAATTTTTGTTCGTTGTAGAGAGCGTTCACTATAAAGAAAGTGTCGATCAATCATCACATTTATAGTCATATAATTATGAAAATTGCAATTAGTAATCCATTTATCTTTTTCTTTTAAAATCTCAGTTACTGTAGATTTTCCAACATTATATATACCTGCAAGTTCAACGTTAGGAATATTTGGATCTCTTTGTTTCAACAAACATAACTCTTTCTTTTGTAAAGCTGTCAAAGTAGTTCTTCTTTTAGTTGACATTTGGTTGAA